CCGGCGGTCTTCGTCAGCCGTTGTTGTGCTGCTACGCCCCTGGTTGACAGAGAGCGATGGGCAGGTTCAGATTATTGCCGAAATTTTCGGTGCCCCAACAGCCTCGCGTCCCTTGGTAACCCGGGCTTCGACGGGGTAGGTATAGCGTTCGACAATCGGAATACCATGAAGAGCAGATGGCTAAGTTTGGCGGAAACTTCGCAACGGTCTCTGACCCTCCTCCTTCCTCATTCAGACTTGGAATCGGTGACGGCGGAGTTCCGTAAATTGTACCTCTTAAAATAACCGTTAATGAGCGAAAAATGAAAGTTGTATCTTTAAAAATTGATGCTGAATCTTTTCTGTTGGAATGAAGAGAAACGCAGCGAAAATCCATTACGGAATGACGTAGCTTGACAAGTTTCGTATCTAGATATTGTCAAACGTTTTGAATCATACTTTATTTGCCCGCAGGTAGCCTACCAACAAAAAGGCAAGTCTGAGAACGCAAATGCATTTTCTGCACTTTGCTTTTCAAATTTGAATGGAATGGAAAAGATCTAAGAAGGATGTCTTATTGCAGGGTCATACAGGGCGACAGAGTGGCAAACTAAAAGCAGGACCGGTAAAATATCTTGAGCATGACATTTGCAGGTCGTGGAATCCACCAGCTGAACTTTCTCAATTAGCGGAAGACCGGGACAATTTGAAATAGCTGCTTCGCTACCACAGAAAAACAACAGGCTGAGAAAGTAGATGAATGAAGTACGATCAATGGCTAGGTGGACATTTGATGGAGTAAGTGAAATCAAATAAGTGAGTGAACAAACGAAAGAGCGGACCAATGAACAAGTGAATTAATGAACGAAAGAGGGAAAAAGCGAAGAAAGAAATAAGCGGATGGGTGGGCAGTTATAACAATCATTAATATCGGTTCTTGTAGAAAGCGGTCTATACGTAGAGACGCTACTATCCATGAGATTTCTAATATACCTCTACCGTGAATATGCAGTTTGTAGAAGCAAGGCCGCTTTCAAGCTTAAATTTTTGGGCAGCGACCGCACTGCGGTAAATTAATCTAAGGTTTAGTGTATGCGATGTTTCGGGCAAATGCTGCCGTTGGTTCTCTCGGAGGTGAGTTTACGAAAGAGTTCAAGTAAAGCCCTAGAAAACAAGTTTCTTAAATGCAGTTAACTCAACCGACTGGTTGTCATATCATAACTTGTGCTGCAGTGGGTCACTATGAAATGCCTGATCTGACTCGTTCAATTCCAAAGTTGATGTTCTTGTATGAATGGGGTTTTGTTCGAAGTTAGTAACTTTGCTTGTGGTTCTGAATTAGGATGTTATGAGAGGTTCGAAGCAAACAATTCAAACCGACAGGACTTGTTAACTTTTGATGAAATTTGCACCAGTTGCGTTGCGGCATGGTTGTTTCGTAAACTTTCGATTTCTAGAATGTTCTGCGAAGAAAATGTGCTCAGAAAATAACTACAAATTGATCGTTTTGGGTCCAGGAAAAACTGGCAAAACCAGCATCATTCGAAGATTCCTCAACAACACGTTTGACGAACGCTACAAAGAAACCGTTGAAGATATCTACACGAAGGAATTCGTCATTGCCGGCCACATGCTACTGCTGGATATTTACGACACGAATTACTATTACCCGGATATGCGGCGCATACTGTTCAAATGTGCGAGCGCCTTCGTGTTCGTTTTCGCGTTGGATGACGTTAACTCGTTTCAAGAGGTAACGACTGGGTTACTTTGTGTACTTCTGTTATGTTCCCTCTGCACGCTTGTGTTAAGGTAACGCAGTGCATTGATGAAGCTAAGGAACACCGTCCAAACATGGATCAACTGCCGATGGTTTTGGCCGGTAATAAGTGCGATATAAATCCAACAAAGGTATGTGAGTTGTGGTTCGTTTGCTGTATGCTCAGCCTGACGTTTGCACGTGCTTAAGGTAACTCAGGAGGTGATCCAGCATTGGCTGAGCAACAGCGAGATCGGAAACAGCCTCCATTTCGTAGAAACCTCAGCCAAAGCCAACAAGAACGTGCGTGAAGTGTTCAAGACTCTGCTGCAGGTGAGCGGCTTCCCAGAGAAATATTGCCAGTGTTTTGCGGAGGAAAATAGCAGCAGTCCGAAGAGGCAGATGTCATGCCGTATTCGCGCCAAGTCTCTCAAAAATGGCGATAAGAAACTGCTCAACAAGGAGCCGAGTAAGCTGACAAGACATGCCAGTCTCATGCTTCAGAAGTCCACCAAACAGGTACACTTCGTACCCGATGACTCAGACTGCAACGTTTCGTGAAGTGATTCGCAGTACATAATTACGATTGGCATTATAGCTGTAGCTGTGTCACAGTTGTATAGACATTAGTAAAATTTTATTTAAGTACTTCTTGTAAATTGAGTATTTCTGAAGGTCTGAAAGTATTAGGCAGAGTAGCCCTGTAATAAATCATATACGGTCAAAAGAGGGCACATCAGAGTTTATTATACTGTTGCTTCTTGTGATCGCTAGGCTGAACACTTGTCATCGAATCGACGCTTATGTTGTTATGAGACGTCAAGATATGTAATAATCAAACACTGAATCATTACTCATCCAATACAAGATTCAACAGCGAATTGCATGTTTCTTGCTCCTGGTCATTGAAGACGTCATTATCCATCGCCAGAGATCCATGGTATCTGAAATCCTGCAATTTTCCATCGGTCTTGCATCAGCTTGTTCGCTACAACAACTTCATGTTCAATGCAAATGGTGTGTCACGAGCTCGTATTCATTATGCGCTACCACATTATTCAAAATTATGTATTATGTTTATAGCTGATTGTCGTTCTGCTGATACAGAAATAGCCAAAGATACAAGAATGGCACAGTTAATCACGCAAAGCGTAAAGCAGAGGTTTGCGAAGCTTATAAACGTCTAGTCAATTGAGTTATGCATTGGATTTACTTTTAGATCGTCAAGTAGATATTTTATTACAGATTTTGCAATATCTTTTAAACAATGCTATATTCATATTTCAAAGTTGAAGCATGTTGTATTTGGCATCGAAAAAAGTATGAAACACTGTCAAACGTATAAAATATAAATGCAAAATTCATGCGCTCTTCAGCGCAGTTGTACTCTGTATGTTTCAGGTCTTAAGAAGGAAGCTGGCTGATATCCATCTGCAAGTCATGAGATCTAATAAAGCACGACGCCCTGCCAGTGATATAGTTGATTTCATCACTGAGGTTGCGCGGCAGTGTTGTTGACAAAGAAAAAGCTAAGAAGCAATCCAAAGTAAAATAATAAAACAATTTCTTTGTTTGTATTCTCTTGTCAATTCTCCGGATTTGCATCATATTTGGTACCGGCAGTGTATGGATGCCAAACCGCAGGGCCGAACAAATGCCATGGAGCAGTGGTCTGCTTAAATAGTCCCTTAGATTGCTAGAAGCAACGGGATGGTTCGCCTACGCCGTGTGAACCCAGAGCCTTTTAGTATTACCGGTGGTTTCGAAAACTAGCAGTTCCTGGGGATACCGGCAGCATTTTATTTTCCAAAGAATTTGCAGTGTGATTCACACGAAGTTATTTAAATAGCTTACGGAGCTGGTTCACCGCAACAATATTGAAACTTTGGATTAATTAGCTGAAATATGGATGGTGCAAGTCTTTGAGCCGTGAGCAGCAACAACGGGATATGAAGATGATCATTTCTGACTGTGCAGAACACCGGTCGCGCTACCTGACACGTGCACCTTGTGATGATTCCGTTTCATCGTTACTGATACCTGATACCTGGCAAGCGTCAGTGAGAGAAATAGATGGTAAATAAATAAATAAAAATAAATTTAACATTCCATCAACATTACCATTTGATTGTCGGTACCGAACGGATGAAGCCAAATCAGTACAAGCACACAGCTGATTACACCTTCGGTTCTTGAGGCGTAACATATCTTTGAATTTACATGATGTTCATTTCAATGAGCCAAAAGGGCAAATCCAACATGAAAGAAAAAATTTTCTACGGACAGTAGATACCCTGTAATTTAAAAGACACGGGTAGATGATGATGGTAGGAGACGTTGATTAGTTGATAGCTTGAATAACGGTTAGTGATCTTCGGCTTCCAGTCCGGACTTCAAGGCAACAATTGAAAAGGGCGTTCTTTCCCTAGAAAGCATTTCAACGCCACACACCTAAGTCATCATCAGGCTTATAGTATGCAGATAAACTGACACGATATTATGAAACTATCATGTAAACTTCTGAGTGTAAGTAACGCTTGTTTCATCAGTTCTTCCGGACAAGCTAACCAATGACATTCCAGTTGTCATCCTATCAAAGAGAACTCACATGTTCTCTACGTAGTTCATGTTTTGTTAGCCAACATGTAGAACATATATTCTTTAATTAACTGTCTCATGTTTGTTCTCTGCTCATCAGCAGAAACTGCATTCTTCGCTCTCCAAGTGAAAAAAGTAGGAAATCGTGGCACAATGCCTCATTGCTTGATTCCAGATAGGTAGTTAATAATTGACATTTAGTATTGGCGAACTATATCGTTTATAAAAATTCCTAAAGCTGATATAAGCATCCGTCATCAACAGCAAAAGGCACCTAGTTAGTCAGATTGATTGGATAAAAGAATTTTAAGATTGAATAAGCAAGATTTTATGTAGAGGATGTCAGACTGCAAAAGTTTTAGGAACTCGGGGAAAATCTCGTCAAGTCTAATCGCTTTGCAACGTCTGGTTCCAGCGAGACCGCCATCACATTCATCCCTTCTGTACCAGGTGGGAATCTTTGAGGTCAATGGTAGTATGGCAATGGTTTCCTTCAGCTTTGGACAATTATCTCGCTTAATATACTTCATTGTTTGAAATTTAGCGTTCTGTGAGAGTTTGGAAGCTTCTGTGTTGGTGGTCACTTTGGGAAATTGGGGTTGTTGAGGGGTCTCCGTTCCCAAAATATGTAGTCAGTTGCATGCCTTATGCCTCGAGTGTGTAAACCTGAGGCTTTCGTCAGTTTCCTGCCATCGCTGTTGTCTTTCGGCATCTAGTGTCTGTAAAAGCTAGGTTGTATGCGGGTCTTTAATTCTCTCGTATTCGGATAAGTTTCAGGCAGCCAGAACAGCGTATACGCCTTCCGGCATTCTCTAACAATTTGGTTCAAGGCTGCTGCATTGGTAACTTTGCAAAATAGATCGAAATATCCACGTGGAGGAGTAATGGAAACTTTTACCGTTTTGACTATGGAGGTGAATATTGACCAGTCGATTTAGCGGAAGTTCCAGAGTAGAATCGGTTTCGACATTATTAATGGCATTTCGAAGCCAGTGTGAATTAGCGACAGTCTGTGTTGGCTTTTTGAAAAGTCGTTCAGAATCTTGAGTCTGGCTGGAATCAGTGTTTTGTTGTTGTCAGCGGAGGTAGTGAAGAGGTCCGGAGTAGAGGTTCTCTTTCAGCATCTGGATAAAAATGGTCGAAAAGCAAATGGCGGTCCTCTGCGAGTGCTCTTTCTGCCAGTTTCT